AGTCACCAAGAGACGTCTGTCTCCAGAAGCACTTGAGCTGATACGCTAGCGTTTAATTGCGTGAGCTGCAGGCTGCTACCGCGAACTAACGTCCGAACTTGCAAAACGATGCAGACAGGCGATAAAAGAAGATCTTAGAGAGAGAAGAGCAGCAGTAATAGCCAAAGCTGCAGAGGCTGGGAAAAGCATTCGCAAAGCCCACCGAAGCTTCGCCAATTACGAGACCAAAATGATTGCACTGCGGCGTCCAGACGGAGCAGTTACAGCGTCCAGAAAGGTAATGAAGAAAATCATTCACGAATACTACTCGGATCTCTTCAATAGCCACGTCCACCTTCCGTCATATGAAATAAAGGGGGATGGATATGTTGTATTACCGGTTCTCCTTTCCGAAATCCGACATGCCACTCCGTCGGTGAAAAATCTAACACCACCAGGTCCGAACAGGATAAGAACAGAACACCTGAAGAACCTTCCGCCAGCCCTCGTAAACACACTGGCTCTGCTCTTCAAACGTTACCTTCAAACGAGTTAGGCAAGGTGATATCACTTCGCCAAAATTATTTACCGCCACCCTCCAGAACGTCATCCGAACAGTGGAATGGGATAATACGGGAGTGAAATTCGATAGTCGGCAGTTACATCATCTTCGCTTTGCTGGTGACATCATCCTTATAACACCAAACATTAGCCAAGCGGGACGTATGCTTGACGACTTTAAGAAAGCCTGTGGACAGATTGGTCTTCGACTAAATCTCACAAAAACGATGTTCATGAGGAACGGATTGGTTTCGTACACCCTATTCACGCTCAGCGGAACGAATATATCCGAATGATCCAGTTATATCTATTGAGGTCGAGAAATCAATATGATGACCTAGCTCCAGGGCTGAGCAGAAGAAAACGAGCGGCTTGGGGAGCTTTCAAGAGCATCGAGCTTATAGTGAAGAGTACAAAGAACACCCGATTCCACGCCCACCTTTTCGACTCAACGGTACTTCCTGCCCTAACGTACGCGTCAGAAACCTGGTCGCTGCGTAAGCAGGATGAAAGATCACTCAGCATTATCGAACGCGCAGTCGAAATGACGATGCGAGGCGTATCCCGCTTCACACAACTGAAGGAAGGGATCCGAGGTTCTGAATTGCGTTAACGACCAAAAATCAAAGATAGCGTTCTGTATCAAACTGTCGAAGAAAAGGTGGTCTGGACACGTAGTGTTTATGAACAACAACCGATAGACAGGAGCCGTTAGTGACTGGATTCCTTGGGGTGTCAAACGCACTGCAGGAATACCACCCACCCGATGGTCAGAGTTCTTTACGAGAAGCCTAGAAGAAAGATATGAGTCCAGATATGCTTGACGAGTCCCTGGAGCGAGTAGAACCCACTGGGCTACTCTTGTACGCGACGAGGAAGAACGGAAGATTCACTGGCGCCGGATCAAGTCACTCGGCCATCAACTGGACTACAGGTGATACAGGTTATGTAAACTCGGCTGCTGCTTGAGGACTTTCCTCTTCATATTTCATAGCGTTGAATGATAGTGGGTCGATTCTTCGTGGAATCTTAGAGTTCTCAGTGCTAGAGCTTTTCCAAATCTCCATCACAAGTGATCGTCAAATATTGTGGATTTAAGGTAGTTAGCTAACCTCTGTCCAACCTGCTACTGGTTTCCCAGTCACGGTACATGAAAGGCTTAGTAGGCATGGGGCGGGGTCGAACCAGGCTCTAGTTCGTATTGATTGGTGTATCCAGCACCGCTCTGCCAACCTCTTCTTATTTTGTATACCGTTGTTTACTGCAGCACCAGGTATCACATGTTTCACACTTTGCAGATCTCAACACTTCTTGCAAACGATTCGTTTCATTGCGTCCACCATCCCCTAGGGTCTTCAAACTTTCTTTGATGTGGCTGCGGCTGCAGCTCGAAAGTTTTTTTCGTCATAGGCAAGAATATCGTTGAATTCTGATCGAGTGCTTCCTCGAATCTTGACATAACTGTCATGGGACCTTTCCGTATGGATTGGATGATTTCTGACCACGGAGTGATGAGATGCTTAGTTGGTCGTAAACGGTGTCAAACCAGCGCCCAGGTAGATTGCACCGTCCGCGTAACGAATGGAAACACTACCGCTGCGCTAACCGTTTCTTTAATCGTTCTAAAGAATTTGCATAAAGCACCCGTCTTCATCGCCGGTATACTACCGCCGTCGTCTCGTCGTGAATGAGGCGGGTCGAGTAGGCCACTGAAGGTTCACAGGCAGGGGCCACCTCCTCTGATGGCGACTTGGCACAGATGCTTTCCAGTATGTTTCGTGGAAAAAACACTGGCGTATTAAAAGAAAAGATAACGGTCAAGTGGAAATCTTGCTCTTTCTACATCAAGGGATATTTCGAAAATCTTGGATGATTCGCGTTCATTCTCTTTTCTTTCTTTAAAACATTGAAAGAATCACTTTCATCATCACAGATGAGTGTATTTCTCACCACACTGCACTTTCTTCCATGCGTTAAAATTCTTAATAGAGACCCATTTTCGTCCAGGACTAATCATTAAATTATTACTTATTCTTAGTTTTTTAAAACCTTTTCTTTTTTTAACTTATTAAATTATTTACTGCCTATTAAAATGTTTCACGACAAGGTATTATGTGTGATACAACCACAAAGATGCTGAGATATTTGCAGGGCTCCAGACCGCTGGTGTCTGCGGTGGGGAACGAACGCACTATTACCCTTTCCGGGGGCTAATGAGTTCACCACCACGCCATGCGGGTCATTCGTTTCGCCTGCTTCTCAACTAGTTCTATCGATTAGTCCCATCAGCAATCACCTATCGGTGGGATTGATCTGGAGAGCTCAAATCGGGAATGAACCCAGTTAAGCTGAGGCTGAAGTCTTTCTTTCTTTGTTTGAACAACTCGTACGATTTCATCGCAATCAAAAACTAGGAGGTTATTGTAGTTGTTAAGCAAATGATCTATTTCATCACGATTTATCTTAAACCTTTACAAAACTGAATTTAGTCAAAAGAAAAAGAATTAGCTGAAACAAGAAGTCGACATGTATTCGGAAATAGTGGCACATGTATTCTTTCTTCGATAAGCTTATACGAAGTTGATAAACAATTTTTATTCGGCTAACGTTTCGACGTCTTCGTCTTCATCAGAGCCGATGGAAAAGTGAATAAGAGGAAGCAAAGAAAAACCGGTATCGATTAATTTCCTATGATAGTAAAAGGGTGGGAATAGTAGATTTTGCTTTTTCTGTTACGGTCTCGTATATTTTTTATTTCTTGTTTTATTTCTCCTTTATGGGAAATATAAGTATGAAGATTCACTGGAGTCGGAACAAACTAGCGATGTTGTATGTTTCGTGATGCTTCCGCATTTTCCTTTATCAGCATAATAAATGTATTTTATTATGTAACAGACAAAACGAAGATTGGTTTATCTCCAGATTTTGGATTGTCAAAGGTTATCCGACAATGTACGGATTAGAACTTTTGCCAATACCCCTTCGGCGAAACCGTTGCAATGATGATTCATTAGCCCTCCATTTCTTCTTCCTCGTTGTACTTTTTTCTGGGTCGGTGCCTTCAATCCAACACTGATATCTGCTATCGAATCCTACATGCTTAAGCGTAATGCCTGAATTCGAACTCGTCACAGAACTAAAGGAATTTCCTGTGCCGACTCATAGACAACATCCAATTTCGACTTCGTGCCTTATCTCTTTCTTCTTAGGGAGAAAATGAAGAGTACGAAAAGCTAAGACGGCGTATGGAGCGTAGGGGTTAGAGATGCTGTGCAATACACACAGGCTCGCTGGATCGATCGCACGCTCTGGATTAAGCAACATCTTTACCTTTCTAGGTTCGGTAAATCGTGAATTGATAGTGTACTTGTTTTGGAGGATAAGAACATCAATAGTTCCCAGGACCAACTTTCTATTAACCTCGGCATTGGGTTATAAAATCGTTGCTTTCTTTCTCGGCAATCGCGAGGTTGTTAAACAGCATACTTTACGTTTGTGCTGTTGAAGCGTTTGACCTAGTAAGTAGCGTATTAGTGTACCCTTCCAGGCTCTGAAGAAGGCGATTTTGCCGAAACGTCAGCTACGGCTGTGTTGAATGTGTGTTATTGTATGGAAGTAAATGTATGCTGTTTAACAACCTCGCGATTGTTGAGAAAGGAAAGCATCAATGTCATACATCGGTAGACCACAGATCATTGAACCGGTGAAATAAGCTTCCAACCAATTCTGTGATGCTTGGTGAAGTCGAATGAAGGATTCATCCTTATGTAGCTGACCAACTCGGACTCTTTAACTCTTTATCACGAGGTGTCCTCATCATCAATGCGTTGCGTGCTCATCACTTTCATAATGCGACCGTGTAGGCGTAGGTGATAATGAGATCGAATGGGCGATGAGTTGACGTCAGTGGTCGTCCTGGATACCGTGCTACTAAATGATGATGTCGATTTTCATGGCTAACACTTTGTGATCAGTGAGCAACATATAGTTGTGTTCAACACTCCGGCCACATTCATTTCCTTCATCTATCAGAATAACACCAACAGGAAAGTAGTGTTATCGTCTGTTTTGCCATCGGTCACAACCTCTACCTTTCCCAAGAGTTACCATCGTCGTTGCCCACTTTTGACCTTTTCCAGTTTTTGAGAATTTTGATTTCGTTCTATTATACTGTTAATTCTTATAGGGTCTGTTCCAAGATAGTTCTTCATCAAGTGTGCACACTTTTTATTCTGTGCCCAATTAATTATGGTTAGGTTTTTCGTCCCCCTTTAATCAAAACTATCGAGGTTCGTTAACTGTTGACGATTTATCGAAGAGAAAAATATCGAGACAAGAGCCAAAAGAAGACAGGAAAAACATAGTTTAGGATGTGATCGTATGGGTCGAAACGTAGGAGATTCTTCAACACTGATACTATGAAACTTCCCTTTACCAGGCCAGTACCAGCTTTGACGGATTTAGCCAACTTTCTCCAGAATACCCTCATCAGTTTTAGCCCGTCCTGCCCCATTCGTTCTTCGTTTTACTGAACCAACGTTGTAAGGTTCATCGTCGTCTACTGATTCACCAAAAATGGCGAACGGTTGTTTGTGGATGGCAAATGATTGTTCGTGGTTGTCGAACTGCTTTAACGCACATCGTGTAGCACCTCGATCCTTTCTCAGCACGGTTTCTCCTAGGCTGGAAACAAGGCTAATCTTATCACTACTGCTATTATCATTATTTTTGTAAATAATAGTAATTTCCGCTCTTAGTGCAACATCACCTTTACTATTATTACAGTATTTTGTCATATTTTCCCCTTTTTTGTTCCATATCATAACGCATCCCAACCTTACTATTTATGATTTTGGGCGTGAAATAAGCTACTTACGAATGCAGAAACTGGCGACTCCTTTAGAAAATGACGCTAAGACCAGAACTAAGGCGATACGAGAACGGGAATTTCGTCAGATGAAATTGATCAGATCTACTCATCATTTACTTATATCATCAGCTGAAATTTAAATGATTAGCCAATATTAACGATAAGCAATCGTGTGGCTCTGGTGAATCTCTCCAAATGTCTTCCCGAGAAGGATTTGTTCATTTCTTACGGATTATTGGCAAAAAAAACGCATACGTTTAATTTTCCTGCCCTCAAGAGCGTTGTTTAGAAGGAAAATAAGAAGGGCACGTTGTCCACCTCGAAGCCCGTGTCAAAAAAACCCATGTGGTCGCAAAGTAGTAAACATTCTTCCATTCCACAAACACTGGCAATTGTCTGGGTTGATGACGTACACTGGAAGAGGTTGGCACGAGCTCTTGAAACTCCAGCGGAACAATTTTATTCCATCAGCAGAATTAATGCATAGTTGCTAATTTATTTGACTCATCTTTACATGTAGTGCTAGCCTCAGCAAGTTCTCCACTTCTTCCATCGGCTTCCATCCGTCATTGGCGAAGCTTTTCGGATCTACCCAGTCGAGTTGATCATCCTTAAAATCTTGTGGCAGCTCGGCTTGAGCGTTCCCATGTTTTTGGCACCAAAATAAACCGGCTCTTTCGGATCGGATAGAGTTTTTTTCCCAAAGGGCCATTGGAATCGGCTGGATCTCCTCATGGATTTCGATATCACTGTACAAAAGATCGCACCCTCAGGAATGTTACACTTTCAGGTTCTTGAGGTAAGAAGTATATGCTTTGAAATAAATGGTCGACGAACGAGAGTGGAACTAGCGCCAACGTGCTAAAAGATGTGCGCTCACCCCATTCTCCTAGGCGCTCAGAGATTTAGGTAGACATGCCAAAGAAGTTGACCTGTTCCTTATTCATAAATCCTGCTTGGATCTTCCATAATCTATACAAATTACATTCTACATACTGCTTTTTTATTAATATAATAATTATTAGATAGTAGATTACATTTGTGCAGATTTTTTCCAATCTCCATTTGTGGAATGAACATGGTAGAACGTTATCACAAGAATGATATCTCTTTCTCCAGTTCCTTTTCTCTTCTTCTAGTGCCAGGTGATAGAATTCCACTAAGTTTCTATTTAGGAATTAGGCAAGTCTGTACGATATACGGAAGCTTTTAGTTAGTAACTGCCACGACCGACTTTCTATTAACCTCGGCATTGATCAAGTGATTTTCTTCGCATTTTTGTTGAGCAAACGCGAGGTGTTACTATTCTTTGTTCACGATTAAGCTGACGTTTCGGCGGATTTCGCCTTCCTCAGAGCCTGGAAAGGTCAAGTTGATAGCAACTCACTCGGCCAGACGCCTCCATAACCAAACAAAGAAACTCCAAACCAAGATTTCAATCACTTTGAACACAGCTTTGCACACTCACCGCTTTCTATGAGACTTCCACTAAGTATGTCACATAGAGACCAACCGCACAGAAATCACGTGGAAGTATAATGTGCCCCTCACATCAGAAAAGCAGTTTTATATACTGCCCTATATCACGCGTGATGATGAGGCATTTTTCCCTGCGGTTCATTTTCGGATTTCTGGAATTAATCCAGAGTGCCTCGAGAGTTTTTCGCGCCTTGATTCGCGTGCGAGGATCGTGACACATACTTCGAAGTCGTCCCCGTTATGTCTCTGGGTCCTATGCGTGCCTAGCGG